CTCTTTGGATCTTCTTTTTCGTTTCAGGCTTGACCCTTTACCATAACTTATTTGTATGTCTTCCTCTTCTTCACACTTTGAGCTTTCTGAACACAGGAATCTTTGCACGAGCTCCCCGCCCCACCCCCAACCTGGCACGATGCCAGGAGAGGAGTAGATACTGGTGAAATGGTGTTCAATGTCACTTGAAATAGCTGCCATTAAGGATATTGGCAGGTAATCCTCTAATGACTCCTTGGGGACGGTAAAGCATCCTATTCCAGGAAGATCGTGGATATCACTCTCAAGGGAGGTTTTTCTCTACATTTGGGAGATTGTGTACATTTCAAGACTCAGGGGAAGAGTGCCGTGGGGAAAAAGTGGTTGAATTTATTTAACAAATGGAGGCACAATACTATCTTGAGCAGGAGAGGGAAGGGTTTTCACATTTACATCTCCGCTCTTCCTAAGCTAAAGTTCCTTCTCTCTCAGAGAACAAATGTGTTGAAAACTTTCTTTAGGGGCGCCTGGGTGGCTCAGTCAGTTGAGCATCTGACTCTTGATTTTGACTCAGGTCATGATCCCAGGGTCATGGGATTGAGCCCCACGTCAGGAGCATGGAGACTGCTTGGGATCCTGTCTCTCTCTTTCTCTCTCTCTCTCTCTCTTATCTTTCCCTCTCTCTCTTTCTCTCTCAAAAGAAAAATAAAAAAAATGTCTTTGAGCATCAGAAATATTTTGATAGGAAAATTGTTAGCCCTTCCCAAAACATACTGCGTTGGAGATCTTTGATGATTAGACATTTAACATTTTTGACTTTGGTGATTTGAGAGCTACACCCAAATGTGATTGATTTCATCTTCAAGATGTGTGTGACCTCTTTAAAGTACAAACCTGAACTGTCCCTTCCTCCAGGACTTGGGAGTGCAGGCAGGGCTGCAGATGCTTAGCTCCTGGAGGTTTGTCAGCCTCTAAGGAGGCTTATCATGCTGATCGGATCTGCCCTTTGTGTGTAAATGGGAAACTACACACAATAGTCCTGTTCGGGTATTGCTGAAGATCTGCTGGATACAATCCTCACAATGTCAGAATTTTTTTAACATTTATTTATTTAAAAAAATTTTTTTAATGTTTATTTATTTTTTGAGAGAGACAGAGACAGAATGCAAGTGGGTTAGGGGCAGAAAGAGAGGGAGATACAGAATCCGAAGCAGGCTCCAGGCTCTGAGCTGTCAGCACAGAGCCCCACGCGGGGCTTGAACTCACAGACTGTGAGATCATGACCTGAGCCAAAGTCAGATACTCAACCCCACTGAGCCACCCAGGCTCCCATGTCAGAGTATATTTGAAAAGATGGTAATATTAATGGGTGACGAACTGAAGAGAAAAATCTTTAAAATCATAACTAAGCTACAATGATGCATTGTCTAAAGTATGTTAAATATCATTTCAAAAAATAATATGAACACAATAGTTGAGTTACAGTTACTACCAAAGAGACCTTTTGGGTTAAGAACTCATCCTTGTAAGCTCTAGTTTTCCTCATCTATAAAGTAATAGTTCTAATTTCTCAGCATTGTGGTGGGAAATAAATTAGATTTTGTGTAGGGTTGTGTGTGTGTGCGTGTGTGTGTGCGTGTGTGTATGCATGTGTATGTGCGTGTCTGTGCGCATATACAGACACACACACACTTGGCACAGTGCCTGGCACACTATTACAGCTGAAATTCAATAATTTTTTATTAAAATACATAATTTACAAGATATGATACATCCACTTTGGTGCTAAAATATTTTTGCTTCTAATTAATAAGAATCGGAATGTTAACTCTTTCCTTGTCAAACAGGTTTCCTTGTCTAACATGTCCTCATCCTGACGGAAGCTATAATGGGATAAAGATTGTCCCTATTAAAATAAACTTGTTTCTTAAACAAATTTGTTTTCGTTGATTAGGTTTTATTAGAGTTTTAAAAAAATCTTAAGTTGGTAAATAATGCAAAAGTCCTTTCTTGAAATGGCTTGAAATGTATTTTTTGTAGGAGTTTTAAGGTTCACATTATATTTAACATGTTTTTATATGTGTATATACGGTATTCAAAATATTTTTTAGGTTTATTTATTTTTGAGAGAGCAAGAGAGAGCAGGGAAGGAGCAGAGAGAGGGAGAGACAGAATCCCAAGCAAGCTCCACACTGTCAGCGAGGAGCCCGACGCAGGGCTCAAGCTCACGAACACTAAGATCATGACCTGAGCCGAGATCAAGAGTTGGACGCTTTAACCAACTGAGCCACCCAGGCACCCTATATGATATTTTTATATGTGGTGTTTTTACCATATTTTTATATATGGTAAAGTATGTTTATATACGGTGTCTCATTTAATCTTGCTCATGAGTAGGAAGAGTATGTATTATTGATACGGTTTTAAGCTGAAGGCAAGTGAGCCTCCGAGAAATTGAGTGTCCAGTCACATAGTAAATGGTGGTCAGGACCTGGTACTAACTACTGTAGCTGGATTTTCTAATTTTAAATTTTTTTTTTCAACGTTTATTTATTTTTGGGACAGAGAGAGACAGAGCATGAACGGGGGAGGGGCAGAGAGAGAGGGAGACACAGAATCGGAAACAGGCTCCAGGCTCTGAGCCATCAGTCCAGAGCCTGACGCGGGGCTCGAACTCACGGACCACGAGATCGTGACCTGGCTGAAGTCGGACGCTTAACCGACTGCGCCACCCAGGCGCCCTTTCTAACCGAAGTCATGTGCTCCTTCGTCCTCACACTGCCTCTATCTGTTGTGATCATCAGTCCTTGGGTTTGAAACTATTCAACTGAAGTGTATTTAGGTGCTTACCCCTAGGATTTTAATTAGCTCTTAGTTATTAAAAAACAGAACTTTTTATATATTGTAAATTCTTTTTTCTTTAATCCAGTAACCAAAGGCAAATTTCCAACTATTGCTGTGACTACATTTATACTTTTGGTGAAAATTAATTTCTAAGGTATGGATCCCGAGGCACTGTAGGTAGAATTTGAAAATGCCTTCTGAAATAATGTGTTTTTTTTTTTTAATGTTTATTTACTTTTTTTTTTTTCAACGTTTATTTATTTTTGGGACAGAGAGAGACAGAGCATGAATGGGGGAGGGGCAGAGAGAGAGGGAGACACAGAATCGGAAACAGGCTCCAGGCTCTGAGCCATCAGCCCAGAGCCTGACGCGGGGCTCGAACTCACGGACCGCGAGATCGTGACCTGGCTGAAGTCGGACGCTTAACCGACTGCGCCACCCAGGCGCCCCAATGTTTATTTACTTTTGAGACAGAGAGAGACAGAGCATGAACGGGGGAGGGTCACAGAGAGAGGGAGACACAGAATCTGAAACAGGCTCCAGGCTCTGAGCTGTCAGCACAGAGCCCGACACGGGGCTCGAACCCTCGGACCGTGAGATCATGACCTGAGCCGAAGTCGGACGCTTAACCGACCGAGCCACCCAGGCGCCCCTGAAATAATGTTTTTTAAAAGATCAAGTTACTGTTACTTTTATTTTGCTGCTGAATTTTATTGTAGTCTTATTCTTAAATCCTCTAAATCTATATATGGCATATATTCTCTATTAAACTCACTGGCAAATAAACAAATGCTTTCAAAGCCTTTAAAAAGCGCCACGAGATGTTTCTGAGGCAGCACACAGCTTTTGATGTGTACACGGGAGAGGTGTTAACTCTCGATTTAGCAACAGGAACATTTGAAAGGCGGAAGCACTAGGAGACCACAAAAACCAGTCGATTACTCCCATGGGTACCATCTCTGAGTAGTGGGCTTTCCTGAGAAACTCTGTTTTTCTCTGCACTCAAATTCAAGATCAGGAAGATGCATCTTCTCTCTCCGTGTAGTGAGAGAGGGCTGCCAAAACAATGTATCACGAATTAGGTGGCTTAAACCGACAGGAACTTATTCCCTTCCAGTTCTAGGAGCTAAAACTCCAAAATCAAGGTATTGGCAGGACTCTATTCTCTCTGAAGACTGTAGGGGAGGATCCTTCCTTGCCTTCTTCCTAGCTTCTGCTGACCCCTAGCAATGCTTAACATTTCTTGACTTATGGATGCATCACTCCGGTCTCTGCCTCCATGTTCACATGGACCTCTCCTCTGCGTGTCCATATGCAAGTTTCCCTGCCTAAATTGTGAGATTGAGAATGTGGCCCCGAGCTTCACGTAGACTGGAAGACAACACTGAATGAATAGACATCAGTGATGGATGATTGATCAGTGATGGGCTTAAGTGGAAGAATGGAAGTCTGAGAATGGGGAGCGACCATCCTCCAGGGCTTTCCACACTGGTGAGTATGAGGAGACATGGTAAGAGTGCACCTCAGAAATTCCTGCCCCACCTTTCTTCCTTTCCCTCGCTTTTTCATATTCACTATCGTCATTATCTCCATGATTTTCTTTGTTCTCATTCTCTTATGAAATCTCAGATAACATCTAAAATAGAGGACAGGTACGCCCAAGCCTGGGATGATGGCTAGGGCAAAAGACGTGTTCCTGCTCTCGCTCCAGGTCAGGACTTACTGAGAACTGAAATTGCCAAATTTTTCATCACCGCCACAATCTTCTGTATTGGTTGATGGTCCTTCTGCATTGTGAGATGATCCTAAAGATAGGTTAAACTCTGTCAAGTGAAGCAGTCTGAGGATGACCATTTGAGCAAAGTTACAAGAAGACTGAATTTAGAAGATTTGATTGTAAAAACGAAATAAAAGAATCATTTAATTTTAAAATGATATTTTATATATAAGTCATCAAATATAGTATTACTATTTTAATAACAAATGTTTGCTCAACTTTAATAAACAAATCCATTAAACTAATAATTTGCAAATGATGAGCATGGTTTTATCCATCCAGAAAACTGACTGACAATATTATCCTAAGTTACAAAAAGAATAAATAAAAAACTGCTTAGAAATACCACGTTGGTTTGAAGAGACATCTAAAATGATACTAGCGATCAGTGCCACATTAGTTAGTTATGTAAATGACCTATTTCTTGGTCCCGATGTCTTCTTGTCAGCTGCTCAATGAAGAGAAAACACCTTCGGATTTCCACACGGATGACCTCCCAGGCACAGTGGCTATACTTTTGGCCTTGCAAATAGTCACGGATGCCTTGGAAATAATTCTTTATTGCAAGTCTGGTACCCTCCCTTTGCGAGGATGAATGATCCTCCTGCCCAGAGTCCTGCTCCAGGCATATCCCTGTCTTCTCCGTTTGCTGATACAGTCCACTTAGGAGTCTCTCTAAACGGCTTTCATTCCACAACGATTGGGAGACATTCAGGCTGAAAGTGTTGAAGACCTGTCGCAGCATTTCTCCAATGGCCGGGAAAGCAGTTTCCTCCGGAAGCTGGTCGATTTTTGCAACCTGGAGGAATCTGAAGTTGCTTCTGTCCTTCAGACATCTCAGGGGAAATTTTCCTCCAAGGTTCTCTAAATGTTGTACAATCTCCCAGATGCCCCTCCGTTGAAAGTGACAGTCCAGAGAGCAGGCAGTACTGGAAAGAAGTAGCATCAAAGCCCAGCTCGGCAAGCTCCGGCTGGTCATGGTGGGTTCCTTTGCAGGGTGACTCCCTCTCCGGAGAGAGCCCGGCTGTGGATCGCCTCTGGCTGCACAGATTCTGTATCGCTGAATGTTTATATCTGTGGGAGCCTCGTTTTTGCACAATATTTCAGGGTCCCCCTGTTTTCTTGTGGTCTTTTCCGCCTGTTGTTTACTACTTTTCAATAATAAACAAAACTCTGCAGTGTCTTTGCACGGCGATACACACGTCCAGTTTTAGAACTGTGGTAGCTATGAACTATCTCCTATGTGACCAGCAATCAGTTAAGTGGAAACAAAGCCGTGAATGTTTTTGCCTTAGTTTAAATTTTCTGCGCATGGCTCATCATGGCTTTCCTTCCTTTAGTTATGTTGTTTGTCCTCGTTTCAATCAAGGATGACTCTCTCTGGGTAAAATGCTTGTTTAGATATTTGGGATGGTTCTCAAGGCTTTGTTTTAGCTAATTGGACTTTATCACAAAGTTGTATTTCAAAGTCCTTCTAACATGTTATGTATGGTGAGACTTTTGTTAGGTTTTTTTTTCCTTCTGGCAAAACCAGAATTGTGGAATGTGTGAAATATGTTTTTGTCTCCTATCTCCCCCCATTTAATTGCACTCACCTCCTTTCTACTTATGGTATTCCTCTTTTCCTCCTTAAGCAGAAAAACAGAGTGATGGAGAGTGCCAATACTGAAGCCAGTCTGCCTTGGTTTGGATCAGATTTAACCCCGACCACCTTAGGCAGCTAATTTAGCTCTCTCGGCCTCAGTTCTTTGCCTATTCGAGTAGAGTGCTTAGGACAGTGTCCAGTGCCCTCTCGGTGTTCCAAGAATGTTAGCTGCTCTCAGGATTATCAAGCACTGCTCACAGCTGGCTGCCATGATCCTATAGTGCTGTGAACTATAAAGATTCTAAAGCTGCTAACAGTCCCCACTCCTCCTTCTAATTTTATTGAAGATGGGCCATGTGTAGGACACTGTGTTAGACACTAGGGATATAGAAATGACAAAGAAAAGAAGCTAGGACCCCTGCCTTTAAGATGCTCATATCCAGACATTACAAAAAGACCATGAAGGCAACAAAGAACTCTAGTAGTGTGATGATAGCCACGATATAATATAGTGCGATGAGTTGCAATAAAAGTCTTCAGAAAATTCTAGAAGGACTCATGTGTCTTAGAATAGGGAAAGTAGTGAAAAGACTTAGGCATCTTAGAGAACTGTTGGTCCAACAGGAGACAAGTTGGAGACACTGTCCAGGTAGAGAGACAAAGGCATTAACGAAGGCATGGAATGGTCCATGTTGGAAAGTCATGGAGAGATCCACAGGTGGAACAGTGGAACACTGTTCAGCGCCTAGAGATAAGTCCAGAAATAATTGCTTGAAGGCAAGAAAACCCTTCTGGTTCACAGGAATGATTCTTTACTGGAAGAATTTCCAGTTTTGTAAAACTGGAAAAATATTTTGAGGCATCATGTAAGCCCTAGTGCCTCTCATATCAAAAATGTAAGTGACAGGCACCTGGGGGGCTCAGTCAGTTAAGCGTCTGATGTGGGCTCAGGTTAGGATCTCACAGTCCATGAGTTTGAGTCCCACAGCAAGCTCTGTGCTGCTAGCTCAGAGCCCCGAGCCTGCTTTGGATTCTGTGTCTGCCTCTCCCCTGCTCATGCTCTCTCTCTCTCTCTCTCTCTCTCTCTCTCTCTCTCTCTCTCCATCTCAAAACTCAGTAAACATTTTTAAAAAATTAAAAATAAAACAAATAAAAAGTGTAAGTGACCACCTAATGGTCAAGGGTGACTTTTACAAGTATAATTGCTGAGTTATCTGGTTTATATGGATTTAAATTATTTTTGACTTGACCATCATTTATTAACTCAGAACAGAGCTTCCACCTAAGAACCACTTTATACTCAACTCAGTCATATGCTTTAGCAGCTATTCTAGTTAGGATTTGTTAGTGGCAAAACCTTAGTTTATTTATCTAAAAACGTCTCTATTTATTTGTGGAGAGCACATCAACAGATATTTGTCGAAATAGTTGAATAATGGATTGAATTAAATGACAAGTTTTTTTTTAACTCATAAGGATCCTTTTAAAGATCCGTTTTGAATTTTTTGAGCAAAAAGCTTAAAAATGCTATTAACTGTATTAGCCCAATAACTGGCATATTTTTCTTTCCTTGGCCTACTTTTTATTAATTTTTCTTTCTCATTATTTTATTGTAAGCCACATTGCAAGATTTTAGTTGCTTTTAGAAACCACTTTGTGGAGCACAAGAGGAGTATACCAAATTTTGGTTAATCCATATTTATTGATTTTTTTCAGCTCTATTGAGGTATAATCGATACATAAAGTTGTAAGATATTTAAAATATGCAGCACGATAATTTGATACATATCTACATTGTGAAAGGATTATGTGGATTTAAATACTGGTCTTCCTCTGAACTGATTTCTGAACGGATTAGCTGGCACTTTAGAAGTTTTTGGCCTTTTACCCAATCAGCCAGAATCTCCCTTTATCCTGTTTGTTCTGCTGTCTCCATTTGCCTTTGCATTTGACTTGCCACGCTTAGTTAATTTACTTATACTTTGGCATATGCCTTTATATTTCTATAGCTATCAAAAAAGATGTTATGAGATATTTAAAAGCCCAGCCCATGCTCTAGGTGTACGGCCTCGGGCAGGGTGATCAGGCAGCACCTGGGCAGTGCCCGTTGGGTTCTGTAGATGCCGGAAGGGGCCAAGGAAGGAAGAGGGTCTGGCTCCATCATCACACCATCCTGAGAGAACCTATTCTGTTTGACACAACCTCCACACATCCATAGAGAAGGGCCAGGGTAAACCAAGCAGGAATGCATTGAGATAGGAATATAAGTTCTAGAACCAGCCTGCTTGGGTTTAAATCCTTGCTTAATAATGGCATGGCTTTTACCGTGATGGTTATGTGTCAGTTTGAGTGGGTTAAGAGACACCCAGATAGTTGGTAAAACATTATTTCTGGGCGTGTCTGGCAAAGGATCTTCGGAAGAGGTTAGCATCTGAATCAGTAAATTGAGTAAAGAAGATCCCTCACCAGTGTGCATGGGCCTCATCTAATCCATTGATGGCCTGAGTAGAACAAAGAAGCAGAAGAAGGCCAAATTCTCTTTCTCTGCTGGAGCTGAGACATCCATCTTCTCCTGCTCTTGGAGGAGGGCCAATGTTCTTGATTCTCAAGTTTTTGGATTCAGTATATCATCAGCATCCCTCCTAACCCTTCCCCACTCTCATTCACAGGCTTTTGGACTCAGGCTGAATTATATCACGAGCTTTCCTGGTTCTCCAGCTGGCAGAGGCCAGGCCATAGGACTTGTTAGCCTCCATAATTGCATCAGCCAATCCTATAATAAATCTCATCTCTATCTACCTCTCTATCTATTTCCTATGGGTTCTGTTTCTCTGGAGGATGCTAATTCAACAGCTTCACAGTTGCATGGCTTTGGAAAGTTGTCTAGCCTCTCTATGCCAATTTCCTGATATCTACAGTGAAGATAACAATATTATCACATGTGACTGTTATAAAGGTTAATGATCAATGACTGGCACATGGGAAATGCTCAGTGTTTATTGCCATCGCCATCAGCAGCATCGCCGTCCTCATTGTCTTAGGGAGGGGAAGGCCTGGATGCCCCTGCCGCTGACATACTTCTTTGGGTTTTCCGTCTGTGCGGAAAGAAGGCCGCAGACTCGTGAAACCAGTTGAGATAATTGTTTTTAAATCCTCTGAGATGCTATGTTTTGCAATTTATTTAACTGGGGCAGATTGTAGGTGAAAACCCTGTGGACATTAATAGTTGGTGGGTGAGCAGGAGTGAGGCAGGAACAGGTGGAGTCTGTTGTGGAGACTAAGAACTAGTCTCCAGAAGACTAATGCTTATGGAGAGCAAGTTATGTGCTAGTGATGCGCTACGGTGTGTAAGGCAGGCCAGAATTTCCTGAGGGAGAGAGCCAGTTATGATGGGAACAATTAAAACGAGTGGAATAAAACTAACCATTGGATAAAGCTAGAGGTAATAGCAGTCATTCTGTATGTTGGCAGAGTGCTTTTACACACGCTGTCTTATTAGAGCCTCGATGCAGGGTAATTATATGACACTTGTTTCAGGGGCGAGGAAAGTGAATTTCAGTAGGATGAAGTGTACCGAGGATCGCACAACTAGCAGAGGCAACGTTCGTGGGTGACGACGCTGCAGGATTGAAGGATTGTGCTCTAAACTGGCTGGAGTTGAAGACGCTTCAATCCAAATCAATTGGTGTTAGTCTTCTGGAGTGAGGAGGATTCTGAGGCTTCATCTGGGCTGAGTGAAAAAAGTACTGTAATCAGCCAGCCATGTCTGCCATGAGATAGGGGGGAAGATGAGTTGTCCTTCCCATATAAACATTACGACACCTTAGGTATGCATCCTTTTGCTTGAGCGTAGGTTGAGCAGGATATAAGTCTGGGTAGATGGACGGAGATTAAACAAGACAGGTGATCACAAGTTGTAAAGGAGACTAGAAGAATGATATAGTTATGTCTACAAGTTAATACTGTTTTTACAACCTGGTAT